GTTCATTACAGAACATTACCAAGATAAACGAGTGTTTAAAAATGTTTTCCCCAAAACAGCCATCATATACAAGCTATAGCCTATATTCATGAAGATAAAATGTAACTATTCCATTGCCAATATATACATATTCTATTTCAAAACACATCGTATTGAAGATGCAACTTCAAGGACATTGAGACAAAGCATTTCCAAAACAATTACTTTCAATTTAACAAGAGGCCCATGGGCCTTAACGGTCACCTGAGTCTACAGTATTATTTTTTTTGTTGAAATATGTACCAATTTGAGTAAAAAATAGTATAATGTTAACTTAACTTTGTCAGGACCATGAGCTGATCATTCCTAGACCAATTTTAAGTGAGATCGGCCTATTAGAATATAGTAGCAAAATAGTGGCCATGGCAGCCAAATTGTATTTCTGATTGACCCGAAAAATAACAACACTTTGTCAGGACCATGAGGCGATCATTCCTACCAACTTTCAGTTCAATCGGCCCAGCAGAACTTGACTTTAAGTTCGAAATGTAAAATGTTAACGGACGACGGACGACGGACGACGACGGACGAAAACGGATAGCAATAGGTCACTTGAGCTAAAGCTCAGGTGACCTAAAAATCTTTAAAATCAATGTACTGTGTCATGTCTAATGAAATTTTAACTGCACTATCAAAGAGATACAAACACACTGTAAGTATCAGGAAGGTGAAATGTTTCTATAAATGGTTTTTTAAGCGAGAGTATGTACTCTGGAGACTTACATTATGTATGCAGATATAGATACCAGAGATAATTATATACCAGATGATTGATACAGCTGCTCATGTGCAGGGGACACAACTGATATAAACATGTAATGCCATAGACTGAGCAGGGGACACAACTGATATAAACATGAAATGCCATAGACTGAACAGGGGACACAACTGATATAAACATGTAATGTCATAGACTGAGCAGGGGACACAACTGATATAAACATGTAATGTCATAGACCGAGCAGGGCACACAACTCTGTGTAAAATTCTATTTTTGTTGTTTTTTCCTGTAACAAAGCTAAATTTATACATGAGGTATGACTGTTTTGAACGTTATTTTAATCAAATCCAGTCCATCACAGTAATATATTTATCACAAAAAGGCATCTGCGTAGACATTTCAGAAGGAGCACACAGCCCTAACAATTTGTATACCAAACAAAATGAACTGCTTTTATTTAGCATTCATGAATGTCATTTATAGACAAAAACACATTTCATGTTCAGGATGAAAAAGAAATAGTATGTAGCCAGCTAATATTTTAGTATTTTATACATGATGTCAAAAAAGACAGTATCAATCATAATCCTGGGTTGTTTTTTTCCATATCCTTTTAGCAATATCAAATAGGCTTCTATATGAAACTCCAAAACTATTCCCCCTGTGCTGGACTAATGTTTTTTACCTTGAACTTGAGCACTGCCGATATTCTTACAGACACAAATTACAAATAAAATGTGTAGGGCAGGTATAGTCTTGGACTATAACTGTGTCTAATTAGGGGACAATTTCAACCACTTAACACATTATAATTTGACCTTGTAAATAGTAAGTAAATTTCGGTCTGTATGGGGTTGCAGATCCTTAGATAAAGGACCAATTTAGTTAAAGGTGTTATCTACTTGAGGTGATCAGTGGCTCCCGAACACTAAAGCCATTGACATCTGTAATGTAACATGACCAACTTTTTGTAATACAGTCTCAGAAGCAGAGTTACATAATAGTGTGACAGTCCACACCTACAAAAAAAACATTTCTGGTATGCTAATGGAGACAGATCTATGATGAAATGTGCTGTTCACCATGTGTTCGGTAGTAGACTCCTTCTTTGGGACAATATAGCAAATCATCTTCCGAGCGTTGAAGTTTGCCCATGATGTTGCTGGGTGAAACACCTTATACATTTTCTGTGACGTCACATGTTAAGTTACAACAAATGAATGCATCCATTTCTACAGTCGCCTAGCTTCATGTTATAGCCCCTTTTTGTGTGGGTTAGGGGTGTATATCAATGAAAATGGTTAGTTTCCTTATCTAATCTCCTGTTTTTCTTTGATATTTGTTAGATCAGTATTAAATGGAAATGGTTATACATGTAGTGTCTTCTCACAGAAAATTATCACACATTGACCCCAGTGACCTTTATATGACTACCAAGGTAATATAATTGGACAAATAGAAGGCAACGAAATATATTGAAGTTCAATTTTTTCTTAACATTTTGGCCCCTTTGACATTTACTCAGGATCAAGGTTATTGATTTGAATAAAACTTCTTAGCCATTCCCTTCATCAAGCTACAGGTCAATAAAACAAGCCTACGGATGCCATGGCATTACCTCACAGGTTTGTTGTACTAGTGAACTAAAAATATGAAGTATATATGTTGGCAATAATTGGGAAAATTAATATTGAATGGTCGTTCCTTTGAAAGAAGCAATTTTCCCTGTTTCATCAACCTTTGTTTGATTGCTTTGAGACTTCGGATGATAAAAATCATCGAAGTTGATATGAAATCATGACCTTTTCACTAATTGAATCAAAGCTGTACAAGAATAAACATCTAAAAATGCAGCGTACAAAAGTAATGGCTATCTAAATGTTGAGATTTAAAAACATTGTAAAAAATTTAAATCTTTGTACACTTAGCTGATTATAAACAATGCAGATATGTGTGGGGATTTGGTGTATAATATTTTGGGAAAATAGGGCAGATAACAAGAAGCTGTTTGTAAGTTTTATCAACATTTTTTTATTTGAAATTGGAACATGGGTGGTTATTAGAATAGGGAAGATTGTTAGAATCAATATGGTAATTCAAAATACTCCACTAATCAAGAAGTTAGTCTATGTCAACATAATACCAATGTCAATACGAGGATATTAACGTAATGCCAGCGTAACAACCAAACACTTACATACAGGTGTACCTGTCCCCGATTAATATTTACCTGTATACAAGAAAATCACCACATTCCATTTAGATAGGCATCTAGGAAACTTCAGCTGTTATTTTAGTTGGGTTATGATCCAGGATATAAGGATATATCAAAAACAAAATTAAGGCTAATTATTGAGAAAAAAAGAACAAAAATCTATAAACTTACACCGTCACTTATAAGACCTTGCGCTTTGCATTTAGACTAGTTCCTTGTGAAGCAAATTTTACAAATAATGGTCACTTCTTAACATAAACTCTACAAAGCTCTGCTACCGGTAATTCTGCAATTTTAACAAACTTGGTAACAAGCCCAGTACATAATTTATAAGGTCCTCTGTATCAGCCTTGCTATGGCTTTGAGCCTTGGAAAGTTAGGTCAGCCTGATGTTACAACCTTTGAGATAGGACAGCCCCCAGCTTTTGGTAAGATATTTACTTGTGCAGCCCCCCATCCCCACCCCTTCCAAAGGTTGACCAGTAGTGTACCACATAACTTACAAACTCTAGTCCCCTCCAGTTGTACCTGTAGGGACTAAATAGCCAGAGCTTCAACAAGGCTGGGTGGGAATCATAGCTGATGATATCAGTAATAGCTACAATAATATCACAATAGTTGACGATAAATGTACAAAGCACCCTAATTGTAAGAAGTATATGTTGAGATATCATTACCTGTTTTCTACCTCCCAGTGACCCGTTTATTATAGGTTGTAAACCAAACACTTTAAAAGGTATCCAAATTTGTAAACATTTGAAACCATAGATTATCTGGTTTTTATTGATCTAGGACCCTTTTACCCAGTAATATTACACTTTTTCCTAGATGTTACGGTAATTTTTAATTGCCATATTCTACTCCTTTGCACAAGCATAAGCTTTTTGTTTCATTTAATTGTCACATTTTTCATTGAAAATCTACCTTTCACACAGCCTTTTGACACAGCTAAGATTATTTTAATATCACATTATTGGAAAAAAGACACTCCAAGTTTGTTATCATAATTGTATAATTGTGAATCAATTACAGAATAGGTATGTAAATTATAAGGCAAGGTGGGATTGTCTGTGTCGGAGGTACGTCCTGTAACGCTAGATGTTAGTACAAACAAATTATAACCTGTGTGTAACTGACTTTTCTAATTTACATCATAACCTTAATTCAATTACATTGCTGATCACAAATTACCGAGCATGGAACGCAATGACTATTGAATTGAATTTTGTAAACTGTCTGAATTTTCAATTTCTATACAAGTATACCTATACATATTTTTTTATTACAATACCAGGCAGAGCCTGACATTAGTTTTTCTTGTAGAAGGACTTGCTGGTGATAATAATGAATACCAGAACAATTGCAAACCAATTCCTCACTTAAGAATGGTTGGCAGGCATTTTGTGAAAAATTCTACTAGCCCATAGTAAATATTGAATATTTTTACTAGTAATTATTACATAAAATCTACTAGCCCCTGGCTAATGTAATTGCATATCCCTGCCACTACAGGACCATTTCTCCTACTATGTTCAAAGAATCTTACATTCACGGATTTAATTGAATATCACACTTAACCCTTTCACCCCAATGTAACTTTAGTAGACTCTACCATGCATTGATATGGATGAGTTCATTATGGTTTACAGTGGTGAAAGGATTAACACAGGATTAAGTAGGAATTTACTTTAGACATTAAGTACTTCCTGAAAACCTTTAATTAAGGATTATTAATTTTTGTTTTCTGTTTACAAAGAACTGATGCTGCAATACTCCTTGAAACAAAAATCAAAGTGAAAAATAAAGATATGAAAGAAAAACAAACAAAGATAAAGATATAGAAAACATAGAAATCAGGTAAAGAAATCAAAAAGATAAATAAATCAAAAATACCTAAGTAAAAAAGATAAATAAATCAAAGATAAATAAGTAAAAAAGATAAAGAAATCAAAGATAAATAAGTAAAAAAGATAAAGAAATCAAAGATAAAGATATATGCAGGACCCAATGGTATAAATATCTTACCTCTGATTTGGCCTTTCCAATGTTGTTCCAAGCTCTATCTAAATCTGTAAAGAGAAAGAGATATCAATCATAAAATAAATCTGTCTAAACTGTCATTACCAACAACTGAAAACTTAATCGGGATAGTGAGGTTTTCTTGTTAAACAAGTTCCATTGACATACACACTATACAGTGTGATCTAGTTAAAGATCTGGTCGCTTTACACAGGGTCCAGTTTAGACAGCCGTATTACATACCCTGTTCCAATGTACAAAGAAAGTGACATGACGGAACACTATCATTACCAAGTGGACACTTTTATATATCCACATAAGCCAAGAGTTCCATGTTCTTGGACAGTCCAACAAAGCACTACATATGTACATGTGACACTTACCTGTTACCTATCCGATTTCTGTGTGTATCAGTACTGACATGTAGCCACAGGGCCACTACTACCGCACTCATTAGTACATGTAGATTTGTCACATTTTTATTATTATTCCTGATACTAGCTACACTTACAGAAATTCAAACAAATATCTATCGATTGTATCAAAATGATATAAAATATTTATACAGTATGATAAACAAGTGGTGAAGGATTGTCCATCCCTAAAATTGTCAATGATTAACCATCCCTAATAGGGTATAGTAACAATTCTGCCAGGAGCTGGTTCCAGCCTTAATCACAATAGATCATATTAAATATTCCTCAGAAAAATCTCTTTCTAAATTATTCAAACAACTTTTTTTAACAGTTTCAGTCAATTTGTTGTGTAGACAGCATTTAATCGGTAATATAAATAATTAACAAACTCAACCAAACAAGAAATATTTCTGAAATCTAACAGCAGGGAATGTTTCAACAATAAAATATACCATTTATCAGATTTTTTTCAATCTGTAGTTATTTAGGTTTCTATTTTACAAGGCATATATATAAACATTAATGGCAAATTACACCTGTTGAAGAATCAAATCTAGAAGTGAAAAAACTTTCTGGAAAATATTAATTGAAAGAATTTTTTTAAATAAATTATGACACTGAAATGTTTTTGAAAGCGAGGTTGCGTTTTTACTGCCGTGCCTGATGTAAGCCAATTAAGGTAGCTGGAATAATGACTTCTACTTACTGTAGCAAGACCTAAGTGTATAAAGGTAGAGGGAATGGAGAAATCCATCCCGTCACAGTAACAATCCACAAACAGGAATTGATCCTCTACAGTAAAAGTCAGTGTGGAAAGGTGAAAGTTAGTCACACAAACTCAACTGTTTTTTAACGTACAGCGGCTTTAACCTGGGGAAATCTGGCAGTGTCCACATCTAGTGGTGCTCGCTGATACAACACTGTTGTTGTACAGGTACACTACATATATACCTGGTTAAATCAAACACGTAACCAATACCCTGTTTGTCAATATATTCACATAGTGCCTTAGAAATGTCTAACGCAGATAAACATCCAAATTTAAAGTGTGACTGAAGAAAACCAGACACATCTTAAAATTAATATTGCTGATATAATATCTCTTTAAATATTTTTTTTCAGATTTCATACTATGAAATTAAACTTCCAATATGCAGTAAAATCTACATGTACATTTCTGTATATTTACGACTTATAATCAATATACCATACAATGTTGTAAACAAAGCCTTACAACAATTCCATATTACTTAGGGAGATAAACTTTTCAAATTAAGATGTAAAGGACAGCCTGCTTGTAACAAATCCCCAGCCCAGGACAATTCAGCAACGTCCACACGATTAACAATTGGCTAACCTGTTTATTGAATCAACATTCCCCGAATCCTCGTAGGTATCATATGTATATATTTATATTCTATATTTATAGAGAGACTCAGCATATATTATATATCTGAAGTCTAAATATAAATAGGTGGTCCCAGTATAAATATGTATATTATACATTGACATAAACACCTTGATTGAAGGCAAACTTTTTAAAAGGCAGCTTAAATTATCGCAGGCGACAAGTCTTCACATGCTCTTAAATGGCAAAAGATATTTGGCATAAACTTCACATTAAAACCTCCCAATATCCAACTTGGCATTCTTATGATTGTCTGTAACCTTTAACTGACCTGATCTAATAAATCCAACCCATGTCTGTCTCACATACAGATCTCCCTTTTCAAAAGTTGTTTTCTTTCTAAATCACTCCACATGCTTTTCCAAATTTACATCTTGATCTTTTACTATTCTGTATACATTTCTAGAATGGCAGTTTGATAGCTAATATTTTTTGCCAACCCGGAGTACACATTTTGATTTAGATCGCACCTGGGACACTCACATAGCAATAGATATGTACATGAGTTGTTGATCACCAAAACACCTGATTTCCCAGCACAAACTACCTGTGTGCCATCAATATCCATTACCTACTAATTAGATATTTATGTATTATAACAGGTCCACGCTCCAAAACCTGTACCAGTCAAACACACGGCCCCCCGTAGATGGTAATCAGTGCGTAATCGGACAGTCAATTGGTGCCCAGTGTTTATAGCATGAATGGCCAGTAGGCATCAACTTGATTGTGACGATCTAATTTCAATACAATTTACATATCCTTTACAATGAATTCCTATGACCATCAGGTTTAGACACAGTAATAAGGACTTCCTCCGGGTAACATTTTTGAGTGCTGGAGGGACAAATACATCAAATCAGGAATACCAATTCCAGAAAACACATGGTCCCGAAGCAGTTTGTGTGTTTGATGATATAACTGAAATGGACGCAAGGTCATCTCTACCTTCATTATTGCTGTGTCATCAATATTTTCTATGTTGCAAATTTCACACTTGTAACTGTCATCAATAATGTCTATGTTGCAAATTCAGACTCAGAAAAATGTTTGCCCTTGTGATTGTTAAAATCTACTGAAATGTGACTGCATGTTAAATGGCATGTCTGTTACATATATCTTTACACACCTGAGTTTCAAGCACCCAGATGATTAAGAGAGGAGTTCATTGTAAGAAACAGACAGATACAAATCTAGATTTGAAGGTGAAACAAGCCATTCGGATTGATATGTCTCACCTATGCCCCGCTTTGACCATCAATGCACATATCAGAGAAACTAACTTAAATGCAAAAACTTAATGTTGATGCATGGAGATGCTGACAAAGTCAATGGACCATGAAAGGTAGGCTGCATCTAGCAATTAACACATGTGTTGAGATGTACTACCTAAGATGCATCTATGGTCCAAGTTTGGTTAGTCTAGCATTTATACTTTCGGTGAAACTAACTTAAACGCAAAAACTTAGTGTTGATGCCACCGCCATCAGCGGAAAAGCAACACCTTAGTCTTGCTTCCACTTCATGGCGGCGAGACAAAAAAACGGGAGTTTTCCGTCTAGTATAGATAGACTTGGCATGAATGTGTTCCTCAGTATGACAGAACTATAAGGATAAATATCTAGTTCCAGGTTGTGAAAGGTATACTAAGAGTATTCTGTATATCATTAAGTCTTACAATGCAAAGTTGTGCTACAGAAATATTTCAGAAATTGTCTCCTTGACTTCATACAATACCAGTCAAGACACAAAACTTCTCATAAATTTGATCTGAAAGACAGTGCAAATCATGACGCACCTACATTTGTTACAGCAATGAGTAGGGATGAAAACAGCTACAGAACAAGGTCCCCTAAACATACTCTTACAGAGGATTTCAAAGACACTTCTACAGTAACAATAATAAAACATTGAAACCTTAACTGTGTCATTGGCGACTTATGAAAATTAAAATATTTCCTATCAACAAAAGGTCATTCTTTGTCCTTTAGTTCAATCACATATTGTCCACTTTATGATTCATTTTCCTTTCTTACATAAATTAGCTAGCCAAAACTGCAACCAAAATACTCAAGTGACCTTACTACCAATAGAAAAGTCCTGAATAAATTGACGCATAAAAAGTCATTTTAGCTAGATATAAGGGTAAAGAAGAGAAATCAATTTACAGTGTAATATCTATTTCATAACAAATTTTCAAACATGGTATCAATTGCTTTCAATTCTTTGCTAGATGATTAAACAAGAAATCCAAGAGGGATGTTGTATTTTATAAATTTGAAAATTGACTAAGGAAAGTTTGGTAATATACATAGTTTGCACCTCATCTTAATCTCAACTTAATCTGTAAGACATTGCTACAACGGATAACTATTCAATTAACACAATTACCATGTTATGCAGGGAATACATCCATGTCATACAATTTACGAATAAACTCATCTAATACCGGCCATATACTGACACGCAAAAGAAACGCAACCTGCAATTTTCAGTAATATTTTTAATAATTCATACAAAAGTTCTGTTTAAGTCATATAGCCAATTAAAGATACACATCTATTCTATTAGATAATTCAGTTAATTTAGTGCTAACGATAATTACTTTGGAAAGACAACAGTCAAGACTGAAGAGGAGGTGGCCATAAGAAATTTTCCGACTTCAATAATGAATATGACCCCCGTAAGCATTTGTTGCTGTTAGATGTCTGCAGTGCATAGAGTTGATAAGACAGTTTATTTGTGCCATAAGGTTGTTCTGCCACTCTTCCAGCAACACCTGGCGCAAAACGGGTAGAGTCCCTGCTGGATTTGGGCGCGTTGGATGTGTCGATCCAACATGCCCCACACATGCTCTATTGGCGAGAGATCGGGAATGTATGGGGGCCAAGATAACATGCAGACATTGTTTTGGCGAAGATAGTCAATTGCACATCTCGCCACATGGCACAGAGCATTGTCTGTCGAGTTATGCTGGCGGACAAGCGGCATGACAACAGGTTGTAGAATAACGTCTATGTACCGTTTAACTGTCAAGGATGACTAAGATTCTACCCCACACCATAACGCTTCCGCCACCACCAAACCCGTCACGTTCCACCATGCAGTTATTGGCACAACGTTCACCACGACGTCAAAAAACACGCTGATGCCCATCTGAGCAGTTAAGCATGAATCGTGACTCGTCAGAGAAGAGTACACTGCACCATTGTTGCATAGGAAACAC